ATTGCCAACCTTGAGAGGTATCTGAAGTTAAAATAAGGGCATTGATTGGGAAGAAGTGGGATCCTGAAACTTAGAAAGGAGACATATTGGCAGATAATCAGAAAGCTGGGGATACTGATCCCCTAAATTCCGTTGAATCACTCCTGCCAGCAGAACCACTCCCATCTGAGGAGATTACTTCATGTTTGTCTGCTAAACCATCCTGCCCAGAAAAACCATTTGCCCCTCCACTCCCATCTAATGAGATTAGCCCTAGCCCAGCTGCCTCGAAAGAGCCCTTGCCTGAGTCATTGCCTGGGGCATTGCTTTACAAGACAATGCTGAATGTTCTCCAAACAATTCCACACTTCCAATTCAGGCTTCTAGACCTATTACTAGACTTAAGTCCCAGGTAGCCCCAAAAGGTGAAGTACAAAGTGTGACCCAGGAGGAGGTATGCTACACTCCCAAAGAACTGCTTGACTTTTCTAATATGTACAAACAGAAACCTGGGGAATATGTGTGGGAATGGCTGTTAAGGGTGTGGGATAATGGTGCAAGGAACATAAAGATGGATCAGTCTGAGTTTATTGATATGGGTCCACTAAGCACAAATTCTTCCCTCAGTGTTTCATCTTGAGAAGTTAGGAAAGGATCTAATGGTTTATTTGTTTGGGTTGCTGAAGCATGGATTACGAGGTGGCCTACACTAAATCAAGTTGAAGTGCCAGACCTGCGTTGGTATACTGTAGAAGAAGGTATCCAGAGGCTTAGGGAATTTGGCATGCTAGAGTAGATTTATCAGGTTAGACCCACAGATTCACACATGGAGTGCTCAGAGGACACACCTTTTACCACACTGTGAGGAACAAATTTGTGAAGGGAGCCCCAGCATCCTTGAAGACTGCTGTGATTGCTATTTTATTTAAATCAGATATGACAGTGGGAACTGCCCTAACTGAATTAAGAGACCTAACTACAGTGGGGCTGATTAGACGCTGTGGTAATAGGGGCCAAGTGTCTGCACTCAATCAACAAAGACAAAGTGGGCGTGGTTATAGTAATGGACAGCGGAGTCAAAGCAGTAATCAGAATAGTCTGACTCATATGAACTTATGGCGTTGGCTACTTAGTCATGGTGTCCCTAGGAGTGAAATAGATAGGAAATCTACTAAATATTTACTTAAGCTGTACAAACTGATGAATTCTAGGTCAAGTGAACAGCTGTCTAACTCCAGTCGTCTGAACAGAGAGTTACAGTCTATCAGTCAATTCCCATATTTGAACGAGTTTAAAGACCCACAACGCCTTGAATGAAGGGGAGGCCAGGTCCCTTGAAGAAGGTCTCCAACACACTGCCAGAAATGTTTGCTGTTAATTTTTCTCCCAGCTTTCCCCAAAGGGATCTATGGCCTTTACAAGAGTGACTGTTCACTGGCGAAAAGGAAATAATCAGACTTTTCAGGGATTACTGGATACTGGCTCTGAACTGACACTAATTCCAGGAGACCCAAAATGTCAGTGGCCCACCAGTCAGAGTGGGGGAATATAGAGCTCAGGTTATTAATGGAATCTTGGCTCATGTCCATCTCACAGTAGGTCCAGTGGGTCCCCGAACCCATCCTGTAGTGATTTCCCCAGTTCCAGAATGTGTAATTGGAATAGATATACTCAGCAACTGGCAGAACCCCCACATTGGATCTCTGACAAATAGAGTAAGGGCTATTATGGTAGGAAAAGCCAAGTGGAAGCCATTATAACTGCCCCTGCCTAGGAAAACAGTAAACCAAAAGCAATACCGTATTCCTGGAGGGATTGCAGAGATTACTGCCACCATCAAGGACTTGAAGGATGCAGGGGTGGTGTTTCCTACCACATACCCATTCAATTCACCTATTTTGCCTGTGCAAAAAACAGATGAATCTTAGAGAATGACAGTAGATTTTCAAAAACTTAACCAGGTGGTGACTCCAGTTGCAGCTGCTGTGCCAAATTAATACATCTCCTGGTACCTGGTATGCAGCTATTGATCTGGCTAATGCCTTTTTCTCCATACCTGCTTTGAAAGGACCACCAGAGGCAGTTTGCCATCAGCTGGCAAGGCCAGCAATACACCTTCACTGTCTTACCTCAGAGGTATATCAACTCTCCAGCCCTATGTCATAATTTAGTCCACAGGGAACTTGATCGCCTTTCCTTTCTACAAGATGCCACACTGGTCCATTACATTGATGACATTATGCCGACTGGACCTAGTAAAAAGGAAGTGAATGACTGTGGACTTATTGGTAAAATATTTGTGTGCTAGAGGGTGGGAAATTAATACCACCTTCCACCTCAGTGAAATTTCTAGGGGTCCAGTGGTATGGGGCATGTTGAGATATTCCTTCTAACGTGAAGGATAAGTTATTACATCTGGCTGCTTCCACAACTAAAAAGGAGGCACAACACCTAGTGGGCCTTTTTGGATTTTAGAGGCAACATATTCCTTAT